ATGCTGGTCTCGAACTCTAGGGCTCAAGCAATCCTCCCGCCTCAGCCTCCAAAAGTGCTGGAATTACAGGCATGAGCCACCATAGCCAGCCATAACAGATTTTTTTTTTTTTTGAGTTGGAGTCTCACTCTGTTGTCCAGACTGGGATAGAGTGGCACACTCACTGCAGTGTTGACCTGCTGGGCTCCAGTGATCCTTCCGCCTCAGCCTTCCAAATAGCTGAAACTACAGGCATGTGTTACAATGCCCGGCTAATTTTTTTGATTTATTGTAGAGACGAGGTCTCACCAATTTGCCCGGTCTTGAACCCACGGGCAATCCGCTTGCCTCAGCCTCCCAAAGTGCTAGGACTACAGGCTTGAGCCACGTGCCCAGCCCCTCCACTCTATTTCTAACTCCCAACAGGATCTCATCTAGTATGGTGCAAGACACATGTGCAGTGAACCAAGGTCTCACTCTGACACCTGGATAATCTGAAAGATGACCAAGAATAACCCATCACTCTTTCCCCAACCTTTCTAGGAACAGCAAGAAGGGCAACTCGCTGATCAAATGAAGTTCTGTGAGATACAATCAGGTGGGGACAGCTACTCCTAGTATTAGTGGTCAGAGTAGTTGATACTGCCCACCTTGCTGGCTGTTTGGCGTACCAGCTAGGGTCAGAGTGGCCCTTGCAGTAATTTTCAAGATGAAGTTGCCAGGTCACCAGTCAACAGGGTCAACAGGAAGCATAAAAAATTATAGGTTGCAGGCCAGGCACAGTGGCTGACGCCTGTAATCTCAACACTTTGGGAGGCCAAGGTGAGAGACTGCCTGAGCCCAGGGTTTTGAGACTAGCCTGGGCAACTTGGCAAGACTTTGTCTCTACAACATATCAAAAAATTAGCCAGGTATGGTGGTGTGCACCTGTGGTCCAGCTCAGGAAGTTGAGGCTGCAGTAGCCTGAGCGTTCCACTACACTCCATCCTGGGCAAGAGTGAGATCCCAACTCAAAAAGAAAAAGAAAAACTTTGTAAAGAGTTCAACAAAATCAGTTTTGTATCAAGAAGGACAGGAATGAAGTGTCCTTGTTGTTCTGGTGCTTATCCATATACAATTCTCCTCTTTTCCAGGGAGGAATATATTTTTCATCTTGTGCTGTGTTACCAGTTCTCACCAAGTTCTTCTGGCTACAGTGGAAGCTCCACGTGTGATTCATGCCGAAGCATTTAATTTCTGGTGCGAAGCCTGAAACACTTTCTTGTCCTGCTGGTAAGTAGGAAATCCCCTGTTCTCAATAGCAAACCTACCACATGATTGGGTCCTATTGGCCTGGACGTCTGAAAGATTGTGATGCAGAGACGCCCAATGACTGGCATGAAATATAAACTTCTGTTGTAGAAACCAGAATATTTTGGAGTCATTTCCACAGAATAGCCTGTCCTATTCTGACCAATACAGAAGAATGTTCAGTATCTTAGAAAGAGGGAAGAGTACTGTGATGGGACTGAGTAACATATAGCAAAAAAAGTCAACATTTAAAAATACTTGTAACTTTTTCTTTGTTTAATAAGTATAGAGTTCCTTTCTTCCTTCCTTCCTCCCTTTCTTGTTGGGGTCTCACTCTGTGGCCCAGGCTAGAGTGCAGTGGCATGCTCACCTCAACCTGCAGCCTCGACCTGCTGAGCTCAGAAAATCCTTCCGCCTCAGCATTTTAAGTAGCTGGGACTACAGGCATGCGCCACTACACCCAACTAATTTGTTTTATTTATTGTAGAGATGAGATCTCGACAAGTTGCCCAATCTGGTCTCGAACCCCTGGGCTCAGGCAATGCTCTCGCCTCGGCCTCTCAAAGTGCTGGGATTACAGGCGTGAGCCACAGCGGCCTGTGAGTATAGAGTTTCTATTTGGGATAATGAATAAACACACTATCCCTGGAAATAGAGAGTGGTAATGGTTGTATAATCTTATGAATGTACTTAATGCTCCTGAATTATATCCTTGAATATGATTAAAATGATAAACTGCATACTATGTATGTTTTACTAATTTAAAAATCACCAAAAAATGGTTTTTCTATCCAAATCTTCCAGTATTGATAAGGACTAGAAAAAAAGGCACTCATATATTGTTGACAATTACATAAATGGGTACTCTTTTTTGGGAGACAATTTTGGTGACATTTATTAAAAGACTTTTGAAATATTGTGCCCTTGGATTCATTTATTTCTTTTTTGAGAATTTAACCTAAATTAAAAAAAAAATTCACAAAGTTTTATATAAAATGACTATAACCCCAGCATGATTTTTTTTTTTTTAGTTAGAGACAAGATTTCGCCACATTGCCCAGCCTGGAGTGCAGTGGCTATTCACAGGCGCAATCGTAGCACACTGCAACCTTGAATTCCTGGGTTCAAGTGATCCTTCTACCTCAGCCTCCTAAATAGGTGAGAATACAAGTGCACGCCACTGTGCTCAGCTTCCCAGCTATGATTTTTAAAAGTAAAAAATTTGAAACAGCCAGGCTCGATGGCTCAGCCTGTAATCCCGCGCCTTTGGGAGGCTGAGGTGAGTGGATTACCTGAGCCCGCGGTTCGAGACCCGCCTGGGCAGAGAGACCTCATCTCTACAATAAATCAAAAAATCAGCCGGGCGTGGTAGCGCATGCCTGTAATTCCAGCTACTTGTAAGGCTGAGGTGGAAAGATCGCCGGAGCCCAGCATGTCGAGGCTGCAGTGGCCGGGAGCGGCCACTGCACTCCAGTCTGGGTGACAGAGTGAGACTCCAACTCAAAAAAAAAAAAAGAATTTTAAACAGTCTAGACTTGATCATGATGAATTGATTAAGTAATTTAGGAACTATTCACATAATTGAACACTATGGTATTTAAAATTATAGTATAGGAATATTTAATGACATAGGAGAAATGCTCCAACATAATGTTAAGTAAAAAAGATACAAAGCCTAGATCTTAAGTTGAGTACTGAGTTCTTAGGTATTGAATTTACCTTCTTATTTATTTATTTATTTGAGTTGGAGTCTCACTCTGTCACTCAGACTGGAGTGCAATGGCCGCTCTGGGCCACCGCAGGCTCGACCTGCTGGGCTCCGGCAATCCTTCCGCCTCAGCCTTCCAAGTAGCTGGAACTACAGGCGCGCGCTACCACACCCGGCTAATTTTTTGATGTACTGTAGAGATGAGGTCTCGCCAAGTTGCCTAGGCTGGTCTCGAACCCGCGGGCTCAAGCAATCCACTCACCTCAGCTCCCAAAGCGCGGGATTACAGGCTGAGCCACTGAACCCGACTGAGTTTATTTATTAAGTTTCATCAACTAGATTTATGTAAGGTTAGTTTGTCAACATTGATTCTTTTTTTTTTTTTTTTTGCCACCAAGAGAATCAGAAGCATTGATTCTTAATGAATTTATGCCGACTTTTGACTATTTGTTCATAAAATTACTTTCTGAGACTCTTAACATTAGTTGCATGATTACAACCCAAGTTCTCTAAATATCCTAGGATAGAAATTATCTGGGCATAAATTAAATACATCATTAAAATAACTGAGTTTAAATAATGTCTTCCTATTTCTTACCTTCCTTGGAATTAGGCTCCCTCCTGACCATTTTTTTCCTTTTTATATTATTTAATCATTGAGAGAAGAATAGAGAAAAAGAGACTGGTTAGTTCTGCTTTCTCTGTTATCTTTTAAATATTGCATCATCTTTCCCCAAACAGAGTCTTTCTGTTTTTGTTCCTGCTATGAACATGACCTTAAAAGGATTCTTTTGGGTCTTGAGTTTTCTTTTGCTATTTTTCACACCTCTAAACTCATTCTGGATTCTTCTTTTCCTGCTATTGTTATTCAAGGGTCATACTGCACTCTAGTATTTAGGTGGTTGTATACATCTGTCCATTGTCTCATATTTTGTGTTCAGCAGGGAAATGTCTCCGCAGTGTATTTATTTCAAAAAAAACAAAAAAACCCCTCATTTTTCCCACCTCCCTGTTGGGATTATTTAAGACAATAATATTTAACTGGAGTTATAGGAACGCCCAAATGTATGTAAAGACTTTCCAAGGAACACTGGTAGGGATAATTTTATTTCCAGATACTAAACTTCCATTTGTTCTTTTTCATAAAATTGATCTTCCTGAAAAAAACTTTTTGCAAATTCTTTTCTACCTACCTTTTCACATTAACCCTTCTCCTGAGGAAGAAGAGAACACAGAAAAGTACACTGCAAATTCATTTATCCGGCATCTTTGCCCCAAGATGTAAAAAAAAAAAATTCCACATTACCAGGGGACAACTGAAATGTTTTCTCTTTTTTTCTAGAAGCCTTCTGTCATAATTACCCACTATTGGGTAATTATGCTTTTTTCTTTTCCTGTCCGGTGCACATTTTTGTTAAGGGCAAGGCTTAGCCTAAGAAACGATCCCGTTGAGAAGGTCTGAACATATTACAGGGTGATGTAGAGGGAGTGATGACAAGTTCCCTTTAATGACTTGCCTCTCCCATTGCTGAATATAATTAGAGAATGCAATTCTTGAGGAAGAGGCATGTGAAAGCAAATAAAGACGATGTCTTTAAGAAATACTGAACACTAAAAATGGCTCTCCTTTTCTTTTATTTGAACATAAACTTTTTTTTTACTCTCTTCAATATTCTTTCCTAGAATGTGCTGTCAACTGGAAAGAAAAGCACCTTTGAACAGATTAGTCATGCTGATCCTTTAAAATATAACTGGAATGTTTTCAGCAGTACTAAGATTTTTGAGACATGCTGGATAAAACCTGTGCAAAAAAAAATTTTGCATGACTTAATTCAGAATAAGTTTGCATTATATAATAAGGGAGGTAAAATTTATCAATTCATATCATAAAGCAATGTATTCACTTACTGACCCTTTCTCTGCACCTCTGTAAAACGGGCAGAAGAATTGTATGTCTTCATTGAGTTGTTTTGGATAATAAACAAGTCAACCTTTGATCCACACAAAGCACATAGAACAGTACCTGGTGCAGCTCAGAGCTCTTCCAGGGGGCACACTCCTCCTTCCCAGGCTCGGTCCTCTTCTCCCTATACTCACTCCTCCTGTAATCTCACCCAGTCTCTTGCCTTAAACACCATCCAGTGTCTGACTATCCCCAGATCCATATTTCCAGTGCCTACCTGCTTGTCCCAAAGCTCCAGCCTCACACTGACCTGCCTACTGGACATCTCCCCTCAGATACCTAGTCGATATCTCAGACTCACTCTCTCCAGGCTGAGTTCTGTTCTTCTCTTTTTCCCAAACTGCTCCACCTTCAGCCTTTCACGGTCACTTGATGGCAACGTCATCCTTCCGATGGCTCAGATCTAAAAAAATTTAATCTGCCCTCTTTTCTTCCTCTCATACCCCACATCCAATCTGTCTTCTGACAAAAATATATCCAGAATCTGTCCACCATTCACTGCCTCCACTGCTGCCTCCTACTGTGAACCACTATTATCTCTCTCCTGATGACTGAAATAGACTCCCTGCTTCTAATTTTTCTTCTGTGTCTCTCCCTGCAGTCTATTTGCAGCCAAGCAGCCAGAGTGATCCTTCTAAAATAAAAATCAGATTATGTCATTTCTCTATTTAAAATCCTTCAATACGGTCCCCCAAATATAACACAACTTTTAAAAAAAATTATATACATATACATTTGTGTGTACACATATTAATTTTTCAAAACAGATAATAAAAATGTGCACCAAATTATTTCCAGTGGTTATCGCAGGGTGGTAATACTGTAGGTCATCATTTTAAAATATTTGCCACTTGACTCAATAGTATTACTTCAGAATAATCAGAATATGCCCAAAGACGTAAGTTCAAGAACATTAATCACAGCAACATTTATAATAGGCAAAAACTGAAAACAGTCTAAGTGTTCAACAACAGGAAACCAATAAATTATATTATAGTTAGTTGATGAATAATCTAAAAGGTTGAACATAATTTTTAGAAAATTAATCACACATTGTTAGAAAAAAAGCTTATAAAATAGCAAGTATACTATGAGATCAACTTTGCAAATTAAACAATGTATATAAAGAAAGGAAAAGACTAGAAGGATATGCACCAAATATTAACAACAGTCATCGCATAGGAATGACACACAGGTGGCCATGATCCAGAGCTAAATAGTCATACAAGGGTCGCTACTTCCCATTAGCAAACCTGCTTGGAATTCACTAACTCGGGACAAATGTGCAAATTCTAATCAACACTTCCTGTAACGTTCAGCAGTGTCAGCTTAAGCAACAATCTCTTTACAGGCTGCAAATGCACTTGTAAGGTATACCACATGAATAAAGAGATTTTAACTCTGAATTTGTTGTAGCAAAAATCATTCTTTTACAGCATACTTAACAAATAGGGAAAAAAAATTCCCTAATGCTTTTAGGAATTCAGGCCCTTTTACGCCTTTGCCAGATTAGGATGGGTTGAGCTATTTTTTTTTGCAATGACTGAAAAGAGGTTCTCATCAGTTTTAATTTGTTTGAAAAAGAAGTTACAAGTACACAAAATAAGTTACTTGTCCTGATCAGTGCCTAGTATTCAGTTTTTGACTCATAATTTTCTTGGACTTTAAATGTTGAGTTAAGTCAATTCTTAAAAATATATTTTTTTAATAGCATTAGGGGGCACCAATAGTTTTTGGTTACATGGATGCATGGATGTACAGTGGTGAAGAAATCTGGTCTTTAAGTGTACCCACCACCCCTGCTGTGCACATTATACCAGGGAGGGTGATTTTTCATTCCTCTTGGTTTTAAGAGTTTTATGTTTTATGTGTCCCTTGTTACTTACTGAATGAAGTAATCAAAAGAAGAAATTCTAAATTCACAATTGCTTTTCTATTCTGTTCCAGCCTTAGCCATCTCAGAGAACACATTAATAAGATTAAGAAGTCTAAGAGGTCCTTTCTCTTTATTCGTTTTTTTTTTTGTTTGTTTTTTGGGTTTTTTTTGAGTTGAAGTCTCACTCTGTTGCCCAGATTGAAGTGTAGTGGCTTGCTCATGGCCACCGCAGCCTTGACCTGCTGGGTTCCAGTGATCCTTCTGCCTCAGTCTTCCAAGTAGCTGGAACTACAAGGCTGTGCTACCACACCTGGCTAATTTTTGATTTATTGTAGAAATGAGGTCTTGCCAAGTTGTCCAGGCTGGTCTCAAACCTGCGGGCTCAGGCAATCCACTCACCTCGGCATCCTAAAATGCTGGGTTTACAGGCTGAGCCACCAAGCCTGGCTTATTTTGCCATTCTTTAAAAACAAGTTAAGATTCCATTGTTTTCTGGAGAGGAAACAAAGGTAGGATTACTGATATAAAACATGAGCTCAGCAGTGTCACAACAAGAAGATAAACTCCAGGCTTACTTGAAGTGAATGTGTGAAATAAGAGAAATGCCCACGTTGGTCATCTCCAAAGAGATGTACACCATGGATATGTATCAATTTTTTGGGGGAGGGTCAGGGTCTCACTGTAACCCAGGCTGGAGTGCAATGGTGCAATCTTAGCTCACTGTAGCCTCAACCTCCTTGGTCTAAGCTTTCAGAATAGCTGGGACTACAGATGCATGCCACCATGTTTTCATTTTTATTTTTTGTAAAGATGAGATTTCGCTATGTTGTCCAAACTGGTCTCAAACTCCTAGACTCAAGGGATCCTCCCACCTTGGCCTCCCAAAGTGCTGACATTACAGGTGTGAGCCACCATGGCTGCAACTATTTATTGAATTTAAAATCTGAATGTAATGACAACTAGACTTTTTTTTAAGCCACTAAAAGAAGCAAAGAGAAAGTCATTTACTTCTAGATACTTAGTCAAATCTAAGGTGGGATTTCTTTCTGAACTTATACTTTGTTTCTCAGTTTGGGAATTGTAATGCTTGAAGGATGTTTTGAGAAAACTATCCTAAGGTCTAAAGTCTAAACTCTCAGTGACAGTTCATTTTAAACCTATACTAAGCACCAAATAGGGAATAAATATTTCATTGATGTTAAAATGGATATGGCTTTTCAAATTCAATAGGTATCAACAAAATAAAAATGGACAGATTGCAGCTAAAGTGACAATTGCTAATTGTCAATCTTCAGCTTCTATGCAATTTAGGGCTACTTCAGTGTTATTTACAATCACAGAGAAGTAAAAGGAACACTTGTCTGTCAATACATAGTTATCAAAACTACATAGTTAACTCTAAATGAATTAAATAGCTGATTTTTGGCTGAAAGTACCTCCTACAAATTTAAAGGAAAATAAAGAGGAGGGAAATATTCATTAGTGTACTGAGAATAAGTTTCACAGGCTTATTATATCCTTGTTAGTTGCTAAGCTTCTGCTATGGTTTGAATGTTTGTCCCCTCCAAAACTCATGTTGAAACTTATTCCTCAATGTGGTAGTATTGAGAGGTGGGGTCTTTAAGAGGTGACTGGCAGAGCTCTCATGAGTAGACTAGTCCACCCATGAATGAATGGGTTAATGGATGAATGGGCTATAATGAAAGTGGGATGGGTGGCTTTATGGAAAAAAGGAAGAGAAACTTGAGTTAGTACGCTCAGCCCCCTTGCCTTGTAATACAAAGAGTCCCCAGAAGCTAGAAGGCCCTCACCAGATAGATACAGCCTCTCAACCTAGGACTTCTCAGCCTCCAGAACTGTAAGAAATAAAATTCTTTTGTTAAAAATAAATGATCGATTTCCAGGTATTCTGTTATAAGCAACAGAAAATGAACAAAACAGTCCCTTTCCACATAAAAGCCTGAAACTTGACCTTCTACATGAATTTTGCAATTTAAAGAGTTAAACTCAGTCAATCCAAGGTTTTGTACCTCTTTCTTTTCCTTCTCTTTTCCCCTCAGGATTTATGTTGTACTAACCTTGGAGGCATCTGGCCCAGGATGTGCTGCCATGGGCCATTCTCTCTAGTCTTTGGCGGTCAGCCCCTGTGGCTACATGTTTAAATCCGTATCTGTTAGCCTTCCCCATGACCATAAGTCCCCTTTCATTCTGCCATCCCACTTTTAGCCACTTCTATGTTGCTATTTGGTGGTCAGGAAACTGTTAGATGCTCTGTATTCTGCAGGGTGAGGAGGAATGTCTCAGTGCCTCAGTGTGGTGAGCAGAGGTCTTCTCAGTGAGGCCTTTTGGAAGCAAGATGAAGCCCCCCTCTACCCAAAGTCTCTCCTGAGCCCCAGGGAATGTCCTGTCGTCTTAGTAGATGAATCAGGATGGGCTACAATTCTTTTTTTTTTTTTGAGTTGGAGTCTCACTCTGTCACCCAGACTGAAGTGCAGTGGC